AGCTGATGAGTTAAGACTCTTTTATGTCTAAAAATGCCTCCTTAAATCTAAGCTAAGATCTCAGTTCATCTTTACTGCTACTCCTGTCCTCCCTCTGAAAAGGAGTGTCTATAGGCAAGTCTAATTAGCAATTACAGAAAGGGCAGAGCTACAGCAGCTTTGAACCAGCTGACTGGAACAGCTTCAGATGTTTATCTGTGCTCAGCACAGGGGAATTCTGCATTGTGTCTGCAGGGTACTGTAGACAGTACACGAGGTAGGAGGGGTGAATAAGACTCGTCTTCATCAACACTGCAAAGTTAAACAAATTTTGATGCCTTCACTTTGTTTTCTTTTTAGACAAAGAAATTAGTATCACTGAAGTTCTTAATCCAGTGTTCTTACTCTTGATTATTTTGACTGTTTTGATCCTAGAACATTAGTAGATCAGACATACAGTCAATCTGGTCCAAAAGAATTATAAACACTGCAGAAAGATTCAGTGCACAAAAGAATGCAGCAGATAGTCCTAAAACTGCATTATACAAAGTTCACTTGTTATGAAATGAATGAAGAAAAAATGCCACCACACAGATTCTGTAGCTTTCCACAAAGTTCCAATTAGAACCGTGATATAAGGGACAATAACTTACTATTTGTCACAGTAATCTGTGAGAGTTGTTATGAACTTAAGACATTTTGGGCAGGCCACAAAGAATGGAAAATCTTAGCTAAATGAAATAATGATCTCCTTTCATTTAGCTTACTGTGCAAACACTTCTGTAACCAGAAGCTGCCTTAGTCAGTTTAACCAGTCAGGGGACCAGGCATGTGTGATGGGATGTGCAGTCATAAAAGAAGAGGCGATTGCTACAAGCATGATGAGCTGTGCAGGTTTCAGGCTTCTAGAAAGAAGTTTATAAAGGAGAGACTCATTCAACTGACAGCTGCTGGGGAGGGAGAGACAGCAGAGCACGTACTTGCTGTGCAAATGTAAACTTACTACAGACTTCCCTCAGGAAGGAGGCCCTAATGTGGGAGGACTGCCTTCTTAGCCTGATTTAACCCAGGTTTTTCCAAATAGCAGTCATCTGAAAATATCTACTTATTTCAGGCTCTGTAGAGCCCTGAGGCAGTAGAAACTGTTGAGAGGTGTCCCTAGAAAAGAAAAAAAGTCTGGTCCTAAGAGTCCAGGATGTGCATTCTACTAATGGATGGAGCTTTTTGCAGCATTTCTGCACAAACATAAGTGAAATTTAATTATATTAAAGGATAGCAAATCATTGATCCATCTATGGCTGAAAACAAGTAGTGGATAAAATATTTTGCAGCTTCTGCTGTGTGGTAGGTGCACATCCTTCATTTTCAGTTTGGATTTCAGGTATGCCAGAATGAGCAGGGTAACCATGATCCAGACAGAAGGCTAGATCACCTGAAAACTTAGTTGCAGGGTTGGCAAACTCACCCAAGGACAGTGGTTCTGTAAGCAGCAAGAGAACTGAAGACCAGTTTCCTTTGAACTTGTATGTACTGACTGACTTCAAGAATATTAAAGGAAAGATGTAAGTTTAGTCCTTCTTGCATATCAAATAATCTATGTAATGGGCAGTAATTTTCTTTATCTTTGGGAAAAAATCTCTGTGCGGCTCGTGTAATTTTCTGTAAATAAGGATTTGCATCCTTTTCTAGATAATAGATCTTAACAACTTGTTCTGGTTTTATGCTTCTTCTTAGTCTTTCTCTCAATGAAGACAACAGAAGTCTCTCTTCTCTGACCAGCTGCCTGTTTTCATGGTAGGAATTTGCAATCTCGGAGACTGCATGCTAAATCTGGCTGCAGCTGATGAATGGTTTTAAAAGCTTTTCTGGGGGAAAGTGGGTGTAGGCAGTGTGTGCTGGCACAAGCCTTTCCTTCCCTGGAATTTTAGGTCTCTATATAGGAAGCCTATCTAAGGCAGATAGATGATGTAAAAAAAAAATCCCACCGCACATTCACCTGCAAAACACTCTGACACATTTCTATAATTCTTGGCTATAGAAACACAAACCAATTGTCACTTCTGACATCTTAATTGTTACTTGGCTTAATATCTCTAAAGGGAATTTGCAGAGTGCAGATGTTCATACTCAGAAATAGGCCTTCTGAAGATGATTTCAAGCTGAGCAACTAAGCTAACTTTTACATTTTCTAAACTCTCTGGAGGCCCACTTCAAGCATGGGTCAAGTCCTGGAAGAAGAAGAAGAAGCAAAGATCTCCTGGAAGTTGTGCAGTTCTTTCTGAACTTACTGTCTTGAAGAGGGTTAGATGGAACTGATTTCTCAGGAAAAGTAAATCAAGAAGCTTTGCCAGATCACTGTGTGATACAAAAGGAACACAGTGCCCATCAAGTTAAGCACATATCAAGTGCTCATCAAGTAACTCCTGTGCAGCTGGGTTTGCTGTTTCTCTTTTGCAGGTATTTCCACCCCACAGACAGGCTTAGGTTGGCATAAGTGGCATATCTGTTCCAGATCTTCCCTTTGTGCACCTAATGGTTTTGGGCTCTCTTTGCAGTACTTTTCTTGTCCTGCATTTCTTGACAACTGCAACATTTCTGTGTTTCTCAAGCTTTTGGCTGCTTAGAGAAGACTTCAGTCATTCCTTCATACATACACATATTTCTAACCAGCCTGAAAGCAAGTGTAAGGATTTGGGGATCACTCATGATATACACACTCTAAATTACTTAGAAGCAACTCAAAGTTGTCTTTCCCCCCTGCAGTTAAACAAAACCAATGTCTAGACTGAAAATGTACAGCTCCTGTAAGCTCTCCTGTTTAAAAATATGAAGCTCTCAGCATGATGTAATACTGAGCTTGTTTCTACACTTGGTTGTTGATTTCCATGCCAAAAGTTATTGATGAGTCCTGTGAATGCCAGCATTTGTCCCAGCCTTTCTAGCTCTTTACATTACTAAGCATTACATTTTGCCAAGAGTAGAGTTTCAATTCACTGCAAACATTTTTGTTGAAAGGCAATTAAACACTACCAGTTGCTTCACATACCATACAGTCTTTTTACTGGCAATGTGAGGCATTTTAATCCCTGAACCAGACTCCTTGGATAAATGTTTTAAAATCTTTGCAGCTCTCTGAGTTATTATATTTTGCAGAATTCTTAAACTAAGATATACATACAAGTAGTAGTAGTAGTATGTGAGCAGCTTTCAAGTGGTACATGATTTGCCATAATGCCAGGGATGCTTCTGCCAGCTGCAATTTTGGCTGATAATAGCACCTGACAAAAAGTAATTGGGGTTGTGTTCCCCTCCAGTGCTTTAACCATGGATAAAGACTCTCTGGATCTCATTTTGAGACAGGGGTTGCTTTAAACACGGCAAAGGGCTTAAAGGCCTTGCTAAAACATACCCTTAATTTTACAAGCACAAGTGTTTTTCAAAATGTTAGTCTTCTGATAGCTTATCACAATTTATCAACTCCAACACCATTTCTAATAACTCTGTGTAAATCTTACTGTCACTTTAAATTCCTTTGGTAAACAGAAAACATGGAATTAGATTAGTAGCTTCCTGCTTCCTTTATTAAGATACCCAGTGAAATTTTTTCCAGTCAATTTCTTTTGCAGTAAGTAAAAAAAAAAAAGTAAATATATATATATTTTCTGTCTGCTCACGAAAACAAACTTGACTATTACCACTGCCCCAGTTAAAACCACTGTAGAAAGAATAGCATGCTACCTTCTCCCCTCTCCCAGTTTTTATCTCCAGTTTTCAGAATAGGCTTGAAAAACAGTAACTGCTAAAAAAAACCTACTTCTGTTGTTCTGCACACTAAACTGTTTGAAAAGTCCAGCAAGCAAGTAGCTTTTGATCTGACAGGAACTGACCAGTACTACTGAAGCAAATGAGATCACATTACTCACAGCAGCCTCTCTAGACATTCAAAATATCACAAACATTAATAAGCCTCTTTAGAATTAGCCATACAGTTCACAGAGGGATTTTAAAAAAAGTCTCCTTACCAATATCCTTACAAATATCTGTGTGTGTATAGATGTACCACTAAATTATGAAAAATACCTTGTAACTGCACTAGTTTTTACATGTTTCATTTAAGTATTTTAAACCTCATAAATTATTAACTTGAAGTTCTGCTAAACTAATACTTTTTTAAAAACCCTCAAGTTTAGATTACTGACTCCTTAAGATGACAACAACTCTAGCAAGAAGCCGGCTGTAATTTTTTTCTTACAAAACTGTAAGACTTAAAGCTAGGAGACCACTACCTTTTGTATGCACTACCTTTTGTATTAACACAAAACTTTTTTGATTGAATATTTCCACTGTATCTGACAACCTTAGATCTCACAACCTTAAATGCTTCTGACTTGTTTAAGTGTGTGGAATATTTTTAAATAAATGTAATTAGCATGTGAGTGCAATTTTCTGAACAGCTTGAAAAAGCTACTCAGGTGCTGAGGAGCTGCTACTTCAGCAGTGATGCTTTTTGTCATTAGATGGGATAATTAATGTCAGTCAGCCAAAAATTAAATAAATATGCATTGTAACTCAAAAGTCCATGTAAGCACAAGAACTGAATCTGTATATATTTGTGCTGGTCTGAACCTGTCTGTGCCAGACTGGTCATACCATTTTAGAAGCGAGTCCAGCCAACAGGATAACCAGGCTTTCAGGCATAGTTTGTGCTGCTGCAATCCTGAAGAGATAATATCAGGAAGCAGCAATCTTGTTTTTGCTGGCTCTACCAGCATAACAAGGGAGTGACTCTCTGAAGTTACTTGCAAACTTTGAGAGGGAAAACGGGTATTTGCTATTCTAATTCACCAGCAGTGCAACCTGTTCTCTCTTCCTTGATGTATTGCTGCTATATTTAATTTAACAATAAAAATAGTTTTCCTGTGAGTTGTAAACCTAAGCATACATATGAGATGCGGTCTGCATGTTCCAAATGCTTCTATGTTGTGGATTAACAAGTTCTTAATAAATTAAACTTTACCTACCAAATCTGGTTTCCGTTTGTAGGTCAGAGGAAGAGAGTACAGCACGGAGTACAGTGTTGTTACCACAGAGGAGATCCAAGACTGTCTAACCTCCCGGCTTCTGGGAATGCGATCAAGGCTGAACTGGAAAAGAGCACGAGGAGCAGAGCTGTTACTTTTGCTTTTCTGAGAATGTTGTGGCTCCTTCTTATTCAATCTGTCTGTGCCAACCTTTTTTTCTTTACTTTTCTTCGTCTAGTTTGGAAACGCCTGTGTACAGAAAGTAAAGTACAGAGAGGGGTCGGAGGCGTGAGCTGCTGCTCAGGCGGGTCCCGGCTCCCCCGCAGCCCCGGCAGCCGCGCCCGGAGCGCGGGGCGAGGGCGGCACCTCGCG